GCCCCAGCAGTGTAGGGGCAGGGGATCAGACTACGTGCATGAGCTGACCCAGAGGTACTGCCTGTCCCTCCAGCTTAGCTGAACACAGCGTGGGCTCCTATCTGCTGGTGAGCATCCCGCCTCCCACACGGCTGCAGCTCACACCCTCCTCATACTTTCGCTTTCAGCTGCCTTACAACACCCAGGGAACAAAGCTTCTGTCTCTTATGCTTCTACATCTGGGGATCTTTCAACCCTTCTCCCCCGGTTTACTGGAAATGTTCATTACTGCCTTAAGCACAACTGTAGGACAAGCTCAGTCCTGGAGTGTTACATCAGCAGAATTCCCAGCCATCAAGCCCATGGCCCACCAGTAACAGCCACGTACCACCAAGCAGATCTATACAAGGTGTTCTAAAGAGCCACTGGGACCAGGAGTTGGCTCCAGCATACTGTACAAATAGGGCACCATTGAACAGCATGGACCCAACCCAACAACGCCTTTCCCACCCTGCCCACCATCAGTTCAGCAGAGTTTCATCACCTGTTCCAATGCCCACTGTTTGTATGAGTGGTATAATTTTCTCACCGCTCCTTACTACCAATCCAGCATTATTTAACTCTAAATCAACTGTCAAAGACTTCCCCCCCTCACACACAAGGGATGGGTCAAGACAAAAGGGTCACATCTTCTTTAAGCTCAATTCTGACCACAGGCAAGAGAAGAGAAAGACTATATGAATCCATCAGGCGCTACACCTGAGGATGTTTGCCCCAACAGAACTTCTCTCTGCATTTTTTAGATTGGAAGATGGAAGCCCCTCTAGCTGCCTCAGCAGAAACCAACCGTAAGCCACACTGTGAAACTTCTGCAGCACCCACAAACCACTACAGGAAGGGATGTGACAATTCAAAGGCACCAGCGCAGTATTAGGGATTAAATTAATTAATCAAGACAAGTCTCTGCAGCCCTTGCAAGGCATCTGTACAAGTGAGTGCAACCTGTCCGTTCTGCTGAATGGATAAACACCAGCAGTGGCTCTTAGGTCTTGCAGTACTCTCAGAAACACGTCCCTCATCCCTGCTACCAAAAGAAGACCGTGTCACGGAATCATAGAACCAATAAGGTTGCAAAGACCTCTAAGATCAGCTAGTCCAACCATCAGCCCACTCCCACCATGCCCACTGCCCACATCCCTCAGTGCCACATCCACACGGTTCTGGAACACCTCCAGGGACGGTGACTCCACCACCTCCCTGGGCAGCCTGTGTCACTGCAGCACCGCTCTGAGAATTTTTTCCTAATATCTGTTGATTCATTTCCCTTCAACAGAGGTCATGTCTCTTCTGCTTTTAAAGAAGAAAGATTTCTCTTCACGGAAAGGAAAATGAGCAACTGACCACAAGACTCTCTTCACAGCCTACTACAGAAGGATTGCTTTATCACCTTCTGGGAAAATAGGAAGCTTGTTCATTGACAGAGAAACGTGGCCACACTGAGCTCACTGCTGGAAACTTTTTGTTGTAGGTAGTTCTGGAAGCAAGGACAGATTGAGAGCTGTGAGTGAAACTTCAGCTGGCACATAAAAGGAGGCTATAAGAAATAAAGGGACAAACTCTTTAGCAGGGTCTGCTGGGATAGGAGAAATGGAAGTGGTTTCAAACTACAAGACTGGAGATTTAGATTGGATTTCAGGAAAAAGTTTTTTACGATAAAGGTAGTGAGGCACTGGCAAAGGCTGCCCAGAGATGAAGTGAGTGCCCCATCTCCAGAGACCCACCCTACATCACATCCAAGGTCAGTGTGGAGGGGCTCTAAGCACCCTGTTAGAGCTGTAGGTGTCCCCGTTCATTGCACGGGGGTTGGCCTTTAAGGGTCCCTTCCATCTCAAATGATTCTATGATTCTAAATTCCTCTGCAGTGTCTGCACTTTTCAGACTGCCCAATTGCACACCTCTTGCAAAGCAGCTGACTGCACAAACTCTGGGGTACTTTTGACTCCACCTGTATGTACATCTTTAAAAATCTTTAAAAGACTCACCAGGTGCATAAAAATTGTAATTACAGATTGACACAGAGATAGTACAGTGTATTGTTTTCACTCAGGAAGAAAACGAGGTGAAGAGCAAAAGAAGAAGAAAGCCCTTACCGGTTCTTCTCCCCTTCTGAATTCTCCTGCATCCAGGAGGAAGGAAAACAGCCTGCAGACAGGCCCATGAAGAAACACTGATACAGAGGGGCTGGTGCACAGCACTGGTGCCAGGGAAGGATGTGGCAGTGGCATGGTCCCACCAGGGAGACAGAGAGAGAGCAGAGGATGCTGAAACTGAGAGGGCAATGGGAAGGTGGCCAAGCACTGATGCAAGCCTCAAGGATCATATGGGAGTTTCAGAGGGAGGTAACATTGAAAGAATCTTGCCCAGGTGCCTTGCTAACAGTAGCAGTGTTGCAGCAAAATGGCACATCCTGGTGACAGGCATGCCCTCCTCCATCACCTCCTCACTGTTCTCTTCACCCTCACTACACCAGCAACAGCTATTTTATGTGGAAGCTGCTGATCTCAGGGAGCAGTTTGAAGGAAGCTCCCCATCTACCTCCAGTGCCCTGTATTTTTCTGCTGCAGGCTGGAGGAAATCACTCCCAGCAGAGTTAATTCTTAGCACCCATGTTTAGGGAACTGGCTCTCTTCCTGTGTGACCCAGTGGAGCACAACTTTGCCCTTTCCCACTGCCACTGGGAGTAAAGCGTGGGGAAAGCCATAAAGCTTTCCAGAAAAGAGAACCATTTCCCCTTCCAGGGTGAGGGAGAAAAGGCGGAGGCATGCTGCCCCTCAGACAGAAAGTCAGGAAACCACTGGGCTGCTCATGGGACACTGTTATTCCCCTACCTTGGTTCTGCATCACAGCCCTGAAGTCTCATTTACATCAGAGGCAAAGTGCTATAGCCGCAGCACTAAAACTCCCTGCTGCCAAGGTACTTTCCAATACGATAAAGGGAATAATTACATCGTCATACATCATCTTTATGCTTTAGCACTAAGGTGTTTCTAGTAGAATCATTTCTGTTGTGGGTTGGGTTTTTTTTGCTTTTTTTTTTTTTTCTTCAAGCTGCTCTCATTACCGAAACAAATTACATGAATAAAAATGTCCAGAGGGAAACAGCCCTTCATTAGGCAGTCAGTCAGCAGCCCCCTGCCAGGCCTCCACCTCCAGTCCCAGCCCCGCTCCTCCCACGGCCATGCAAGGCTGCACAGGAGGCTGTCAGTTAAGTAAAACCACATCTCATGCGTTGCACCGCTACCAATGTCAGCACCTGAAATCAGTTTTAGATGGATTTTTGTATCACCCCCAGAGCCATGATAGCATCTCACCACTCACACGGTTCGATTACAACAGAAAGAAGTAACCGACTGACACGGTGCGCTCGCCAGTAAGCGAAGGGAACAGCCCCTGTACACACGTGTGTGTATCGGAAGTTATAAGCATTAACTGGCTTGGTTAAGCCGTGCTAATACATCAGTCTGTCTCATTTGCTTGCAGTCCTGCTAGCTTCCCTGGATGAGGAGAGGCTGAGGTTAAACTGAGGTTAGCTGGCACATGTCAGCCAAGCCTGACCTAATCCTTGGTTTATTCCAACTTGTTGCGACTTTCTCTACAAATAATAATAAGAATAGGATGAAACCACAGCGCTACAGTTGTGTTCCAAATAACTATTTTTATGAGCTGTACACAAACAGATGAAGGCTAGCTATGCACGCTGGCTGCTCCACAAAACCCTGCTCACCTTTCCTCAGCCCTCCCATCCCATCCAAAGCATGTGCACAGATATTCCACACCAACCTCAACCTGAGCACCTCCTTCAGATGCTGAAGTGGGAAGACATGCTCAATAACATCTTTGCAGCAAATAATGAGACTCCCCAAGACTTGGACAGAAACAGTCTGTTTGCTAAACCCCTGCCCACGGCGGGGTGGTAGAGCTAGTGATCTTTGAGGTCCCTCCAACCCAAGCCATTCTATGACTGTGAATTTAGACTTTGCCTAATAGCTTTATCAGACAGATAACTTCAGCCAGTTGGACTGCCCCTCCAAGCTTTCCCATGGACATACTCCTGTTCTTTGTGCTGGATTCAAGAGCTGAGGAAACCTCCCCCCAAAGCAGCTCTGAGATCTGGCATAAAAGTAGGGGTTTCAGAAGCAATAGAGAAAAAAATAATAATGCAGCTTAAGCCACAGAGGTGCTACTTTTTACTCCTTTTATTGAGTATACAATATTTTATTCCCCCTATTTCAAGGAAAATAACACTCCATGTGATTGCTATGGGATGTAAATGTGTACTCCACTGTTCAGACAGAGCTCATAACTGAAACATTTGAGAGCCAATGAAATCCCAAGCGTAAAGTTTTTAATTTTCATTCAAGCGTGGCATTAAAATTCTGGTTGTGCAGGAAAAAGAAAATACTACCTCAGAGTGCTTTTGAGGTCTATTCCTTCTGATATAGTAACTAGGATAACTCAGCGGAGATGCCTGAAGCCTGTTCCTGGTGCTACTACTAATCCTCTTTTCCCATTCCTACTCCTGTATCACAGAAGATGCCAAAAGGCTTGTGAAGGAGATGGGGATTTGGACCACAAAGCATTAATCAAATCCATCACCTCCACAGAATCACAGAATGGCCCAGGTTGGAAGGGACCTCAAGGATCTCGAATCTCCAAACCCCTGCCACATGCAGGGCCACCAACCTCCCCATTTAATACCAGACCAGGCTGCCCAGGGCCCCATCCAATCTGGCCTTGAACACTTCCAGGGATGGGGCAGCCACAATCTCTCCGGGCAGCCTGTGCCAGCACCTCACCACTCTCTGTGCAAAGAACTTAATCCCTGTACCTTCATCCATGAACCTCCAGCCCTGCATGAGAACCCATGACCACGGTGCATGAGAGCATGGCTCATGCCAAGGCAGCTGCAGGATCTCCACAGATATATACCCATGACAAACGCAGTGGGCTGACGCACTTACCAGAACAACATCCTCATCTGAAGGCGCATGACCATCGTTTATGGGAAGAAGAGGGTTATCTTGCAATACCGATCTTATTCAGCAGCTTCCAAGATGACTGGGTATGATACAAGAGTAAAAAGCCTCAGCTGTAACCACTAAGTGCTCAGCACAGCTGACAGGGAAACCCTGTAATAGGCTGAATAGTTGTGCCTTTCAGATCCTCAGACCACGGGCCCCAACACCCGCACTCACAGCCTGTATTCAAGCAGCCTCTGACTGCTTCATGCTCCAATCATGTGCTTCTCATACTTGTATCCTGTGATCTTCATGGGCTGCCCATTTCACAGTCCCGTCAGAATTCAAGATGTTGAATTTAACCTAGAAATGTTTTTGTGGTTTGACATTTGCCTGGCAAAGATGGCACCACCTCTCCCTACCAAAACTGTGAGTGGAACAATAATTGCTTGGGGGTCTGCTTTTGCCCTGTTTTCCTTTTATGCCCACTCAAAAAATATTGGCTATGGTACCTTTGGAAAAGACTCAACTTGTGATTGTCATCCATCCAACGGACCAAGTCAATCCAATCCAATGTTTGCATGCCCACACACTACCCAATTCACCAACCCTTCAGGGCACCAGGACCTGCCTCTTTCCCTGGAACAGTCCACGGAGACGTCAGGAGAAGCCTGCTACATGCTGTTTCATAGAGTCATGTATCAGTAAGTTTGGAGAAGATCTCAAAGACCATCTAGTTCAACCATCAACCCATCCCCTCTGTGCCCATAACCACGTCCCTAAGTGTCATATCCACACAGTTTTGGAGCACCTCCAGGGATGGTGACCCCACCACCACCCTGGGCAGCCTGTTCGTTGCAGTCTTTCGAGCACTGAGCATAGAGGAAGGATGAACAGCTTGTGGTTATGCCATCACATGGAGACGTGGCTTCCAGCTCTTCTAGCAACCTATCACGGATTTCCCAAGAGTTCTGAGCAGGTCAGATAATTCTCCCATCAGACTTTCCCCCCTTTCAAGTGCTTGGAAAGGAAACATTCACAAGCAACCGCTGAACACTCAGACATCAGCATGGTGAGGGCTCGATAACCAGATGCCTTTCTCCCCGATGAAGGAGCAGCACAATGACTATAAAGACTTATGTCTGCTTTAGCTCCATGGAAATACTTGGGTTATGAAGCACAGAATGTAAACAGCAATAAAAAATGGCTTTTTTTATAAGAAGGCCTGAATCTTTTTTTTCACCTGTAACTCCAAACACACATAAGAGAACATCAAATCGCATTTCATAAGGAGCTAAAACAGCATTACAGTCATACTGCATGGGAAACATAATGACACCAGGAGAGACAAAACAAAATGGACAACTTGCTGGGGTCCGGCTCAAACACCTTCAAAAAATGCCATTTGCTCACGTCAGGGCTGAGATTTGTGCCAGGTAAAGCTGCAACAAAATGGAGACGAAAAGTCTGAATCATGTCCCCGGAGGGAAACGGATGAGGGCAGGCTGAAGTTCACGTCAATCCCCCAGGCTGATACAGAGGGTGTCACAACTCCGCAAACCAAAATGAACGGCTCAGCGGGAGCCGCTCCGCGATAGGAACTGCCTCGATAGGAGCCGGTGCTGCAACGCCAGAGTGGCAACGCCTGAAACCTGCGGGCAGAGCACCGGGACGGGAGGACAAGGGGCGTTCGGAGAAGGCTGCCCGCCTGCCTGTGGCCATACCACCAAAGCACCGGGGGATCCTGCGGCGAGCGCGTCCCGACGGGACGCTGGGCAGGGCCCTGGGGAGGACACCCTGGGGCAAACGCTGCGGGGACACCGCTATTTAGACCGGGGAGGGGGAGGAAGGAGTGGATTCGCCCCTTTACTTGCAGTCAGCATCCTCCCCCTGGGTCTCTGTGGGGAAGGAAGACAATGGCTATGGGCCGCGCTCCGCTGGCACCCCGGCAGGGTTAACCTGCTCTGCGCTTCCAGTTCTCCTCGTTTTCCCGGTTTCTTTTGCTCTGACATTTGCATCTCGGCTTGACAGCTGTTTTGTATGGGAGCCGATGTGCCCGTGCATGCTGATACGTAGGAGAACAACACCAGCTCCGACCGCGGCTCCCGAGCCGGCTGCTGGCTGCCGCCGCGCTCCCCCCTCACTGAGCAGCATGAGGAACGTCAACTTTGGAGTCGTGCTTTACCGAACGGCGCTCCTTCGAGGCATCACCCCCCAACCACCCTCTCGCTCGGGAACGAAGATAAACAACACAGAAACCCCCGCGAAGTCGGTGCACCGCCGTGTCAAGCGCCGGATAAACAAGCAGCAACACGCCGGAGATGCGTGCAGAAAGCCTGCGTGCCAGCGCGCAGCGCCCGGCCAAACCGCTGCCTGCCGGGGGAGCAAAGTTTGCTCGCTCCGACCGCTCCGCTGCGCTGCTGCCGTTTCTCCCGTGGAAAACTCCGGGCGCCCAACGCCGCCCGGCACGGACTCGGCGCGGGGCGGCACGGTGCCGCGGAGCGGATGCAGACTGGGGCGATGCGGCGGCGGCCCCTCCCGGCCCCGCTCCCCCCGCCGCTACCCGGCGCAGCAGGTGGCCGCTCGCTCTCACTCACCGCTGGCGTTCTTCCCGCAGATGAGGTGCTGGTAGGGCTGCAGCAGCCCCCACAGCTCGGGGTCGTTGTTGACCGTCTGCTCCAGAGCCTCCAGCGTGAAGCGCGGCCCCTCGGCGCCCTCCTTCTCCCTCTCGGCCGGGCCGGCGGCCGCAGCGGGGGTGGTACGGCCGGGCGGCGGCAGCGGGGCGGAGGGCCCGGTCCCGGCCAGCACCCGAGCGTGGATGTCGCGGAAGAGGCTCTCGGTGCCGGCCGTCAGGTAGATGGCGGCGTGCTCGTGGATGCGCAGGGCCACGCGGCTGTCCACCATCCAGCGGTAGAACTTGCCGACGGAGAAGGCCAGCCCGCAGCGCGCCGACTTGCCGCGGCTGAAGCGGTCCCCTCCGCTGCCGCTCATGTTGTAGAGCGAGAGGGCTCCGAGAGCGGCCGCCGTGCAGCGGGCGGCCAGCGTCCAGCCCAGCACGATCTCCATGGCGCTGCGCACCTCGTGCTTGGTGCACTTGGCGAAGCGCAGGCTGAGGCGCTGAGCCTCGCGGGCGATGCGCACCAGAGCGCGGCTCACCAGCGTGGACAGCCGCGCCGCCGCATCCCGCCCCGCCGCGCCGCCGCCGCCGCCCGGCGCCCGCGGATCCCGGCGCGGCTGCGGCGGCTGCAGCAGCGCCTCCACCTCCTCCAGGCTCCAGGGGACCTCCTCAAGGTCGGGCAGGAGCCGGGAGCAGTGCTGCCCCGCGCAGTCCAGCACCTCGGAATCTTCCGCTAGGACGGTGTTGACGGTGTCGAAGCTGTTGTGGCGACTGTGCATGGAGTCAGTTAGGTGCGGCCGGCAGCTTCCTCCATAGGGGTACGCGGGGTGCGAATCCGAGCAGCACAGCGACAAGTTGGAGGAGCGCACCGAGTCCGCCGCTCCACCATAGCCGGAGTCCAGCGTCAGGTCTTCCAGCGTCCGCGCCGCCGTCTTACCCCGCCGTGCCATCATCGCCGCGCTTCATGCTGCACCCGCGGGACCCGGGCGGGGTGCGGCGGCCGGCGGGGACGAGGCGGAGCGTCGAGTCCTGTGGGGCAGCCCGCTGTCGTGCTCCCAGCGCCGCCAGCCCGCAGAGTGCTGCTGCTGCTGCTGCTGCTGCTGCTCCCGGTGCTGCCCGCACACCGCTGCCGGCCCGGCTCCTGCACTGCGCCGCCGGCCCGACCCGCACCGCAGCGCAGCGCCGGGCGGCGCGGGGGGGGAGGCTGGGTGGGTACATGCAAAGCGCCGCCGGCCCTCGACCAATAGGACGGCGTGGAGGGCGGGGGCATGGAAAGCCCCCGCACTCCGCAGCCAATGGGGCGGCGCCTCCGGCCTCCAAGGCCCCGCCCCTCAACTCTACCCCTCGCCTCCGAGGGGTGCGGAGCCGCAGCGCGGTGCGGGGATGGGGTGCTGCTCACGGGACGGAGGCGCGGCCGCCGGCGGCGTTCCTCTGGGACGAGGCGGGACCCCCCCGCGCTCCGCTCTGCTGGTTTGCAGGTTGTGCTGTGAACGCGCTAACGGCAGCACGCGGACGCAGCCGAAGTGGTCGAACTGTCTCGGGCACCGGTGCCGTAGCGTGACTCCTCTGCAGGACGGCACGGCGGGGATGGCGGTGGCGCGGGCCGGGAGGCCCCGCCGTGAGCAAAGCCCTGCGAACGGAGCAGCGGCACCTCGGGACTGGCATCGCGAGCGCCCTGCAGCAGAGCCCTCTGCTGTCCGCAGCCCCGCAGAGCACTCCGCTCGGCCTCCAGCTGCTCCAACAGTGCTGTTCGCCTGAGCGTGCCCGTACGCTTCTGCACAGCGCTGTGCCCTCGTGCTCAGCCGGGACCCCAACTCCTGGCTCCACACAGCACCACCCAAAAATCAGACCTGTGTGAGAGCGGTTTCCAAAGCTTCTTGAACCCCGGCACTCGGGGCCGTGCCCACAGCCCTGGGCGTTCTGTTCCATGCCCACCACCCTCTGCTGCAGACCCTGTCCCTGACCCCCAGCTGCCCTCCCCTGACAGCTCACTGCCGTTCCCTCGGGCCCTGTCGCTGTCACACAGAGCAGAGCTCAGCGCTGCCCTCCGCTCCCTGTGAGGAGCTGCAGCCACCACCAGGCCTCCCATCGGCTCTTCTGCTCTGGGCTGAGCACACCCGGGGCCCTCAGCCGCTCCCCACGGCCTGGGAGTAGGCATTTGCCTACCAGACACATCCACCACAGAGAACGGTTCCTTACATGCCGGCTAGGGGGTGGTGATTTCCCACTAGTTGGGGCCATGGGCATCATTTCTCCATGGACAGAGCAAAGAGCTCAGGCAGGAGCTGATGAAGTACCCGCAGGGGATGATAAGTGCCAGCATGAGCTCTGAAAGAAGTAAATTGAAGCACGGTTTAGGAAGGTGCTCAGGGCAAATGGAAGCGAACAGGAATGAGATGGTGTGGGGAGAGCAGTGAGGGGCGCAGCGCTTTCTCTCGCCTTCCCCAGCCCATGAGCTGCCTGCAGGCTGCACTGCAGTGGGAGCTGGGGGAGCAGCCCCAGAGCAGGCCATCCTGTGCCACCATCGTGTGCCAGATTCCTTCATTTTTTGTTGGAAACCAAAAGCTGAAGTGAATTGAGGGAGAGCTGACACGTTCCTGCTGGCTAAGACCACTGGTGACTATTAAACACAATGATGCACACGCGATCTTCAGCTTTCTGGCTTCTCAACAGCTGTTTGCCAGAAGTGGGGAGATGATGCCAGGGGAAAGAGTACTCTGTGGTCACTCAGTGCCTTGTGGCTCTGCAGCTGGCGGCTGCGAGAGCAGAAACAGTGCTGGGGATGGAGTGAAGGCCCACGAGGCAGCCCCTTGGTTCAAGCCTCTGGTTCTCAGCAAGGCTCAGCCATGATCTCTACACCCATCCTGACAGATTTCAGTCTCCCCTCCTGCTGAACCCATGCATGATGAAGTATTTACAGCTTCCTGCATGGTCTGTTTAAGAGTCCACTGCTGCCAGGAACAGCCCTCCCAGCACCTGGCCTAAGCTTTTCTTTGCTGCAAATGTAGAGGGTAAAAAGATGCTCCCAACTTTTGTTAGTGGCCTGGACCAACATCACTTCCTCTTAGGCAGCACTGAAAGCAAGCAGAGCCAAGTAGGATACACAGAGCTCTCCTGCAGCCAGTGGCTCTGGTTGCTTCTCACGATTCTCTACACCCCTCCCATACAGCGTAACAGCGTTTGCATGCTTTATGTGCAGTCAGTTCATACATACATGCTATGTTTTGATCAGAACCAAAGGAAACAGGAATAGCAGGCTTCCCTGAGCACAGAGACAGGGAACGGCAGTGCTCTGCCACTGGGAATTTCCATTCCCACCCAGACACACCAAGACTGCAACAGGGACAAATGTACGGGTAAGCAAGAAAACAATTTCAAGATGAAACACAAAGCAACATACATGCTGGAGATCAGCAGTGACTGCTGCATTGATCTGCGGTAGGGAGGACAGAAATAGTTTAACTCACTCTGCATTTTAAGTGATTGTTTCTCCCCATCTGTCCATCAGCACCTCTTAATATGTGGCAGTTCAGGACTGACAGAGAGGGGGAAAGCAGCCCCCAGGAGGTTACCTCGTGGGCAGGGGCTCCTTCTGGTTCTGGAGGGCCTCTGGAGCCCCCAGCTGCACAGAGCCATTGAGATGAGAGGCAGATGCCATGCCCTAGTACTAAGGGGAACTTGCTGTCTTGCAGGCAAACTGCAGGAGAAGCACACAAAGAAGTCATTTTAATACAAAGAGGGTTTTTTTTTGTTCCAACAACTCATCCCTTAAATAAAGAAAACAAAAACCAGGCATGTTTGGCGTAAGATAAGGTTTAAGGAACTGAGCAATATTGTACCATTCTATTTTCATTGTCCCTAATGCTTGCAACTCCTTTTGCATGTTTTCCTCACAGTTCACTTAAAAACCAGATTACATCTTTTTTTTTTTTTTTTTTTTTTTTAACATTACAGCATTCTGTTCGTTCCTTGAGCAACCAAAAGCACTGCTGAAATGACTGCAAATAAATCAGCCAACAACAACAAAAGCCTCAAAATTAATAAGAACTGTCCCCAGCAAAGCTCATTTTGCTGTCAGTGCTCTTCCTTGCAGAGCACTTACATTCCTGTAGCGCACCATCAGGCTCAACAACAAACCATGCCTGGACACATGGGATGGATGAGGGGGTGTTAAAAATGTGTAGATATTCAAATGGTAAATATGACAATCTATTATAGAAACCTCTTTTTGTTTTTGAAGACTTTTTCTTGGATTTTTTTTATTATTATTTTTTTTAAGCTAGCGGTAGGGAGCACCATGCATTAAGACGTGACATTGCCCAGCTCTGCAAAGCTTGTGTCTCATCACCCATTCCATTGCACCACAGGCCCTGACGTGCCATGGGATGGCCGTGTGGGAGCTCCATGAAGGAGCAGACTTCTAACACAAACCCACTGCAGTTTCCAAACAGAACCAGTGTGCTTTCAGCAGTCATACAGTCATTCATAGAATCACAGAATCACAGAATGGCCTGGGTTGAAAAGAACCGCAATGATCATCTTGTTTTTCAACCCCCCTGTTATGTGCAGGGTCACCAAGCACCAGACCAGGCTGCCCAGAGCCACATCCAGCCTGGCCTTGAATGCCTCCAGGGATGGGGCATCCACAGCCTCCTTGGGCAACCTGTTCCAGTGCTTCACCACCCTCTGGGTGAAAAACTTCTTCCTAAAATCTAACCTAAACCTCCCCTGTCTCAGTTTAAGACCATTCCCCCTTGTTCTATCCCTATCAACCTACGTAAACAGCCGTTCCCCTCCTGTTCATACACTCCCTTCAAGCACTGGAAGGCCACAATGAGGTCTCCCTGCAGCCTTCTCTTCTCCAAGCTAAACAAGCCCAGTTCCCTCAACCTTTCTTTATAGGAGAGGTGCTCCAGCCTTTTGATCATCTTAGTGGCCCTCCTCACTGCTAACCCCTGGCTTCACATACAGCGAAGGTGCGAGCAAAGCATCAAATATCTGTGGGAAATTACAGCCCCAGTCATCATGAAATCCCGTCTCCCTCTTTCCCTCCTATTGCTGGCAACAGACAAAATATTTATGGCCTGCACAGGGATTACATTTTATACACCTTGCCCAGCCAGTGACCTACTGGAATTTCATGTACTGTAAGAAATATGAGCCACCAAACTGCCTCTTCAATTTTTATAATTTCAAGTATTTCTTACATTTTCAGCTGCCTAAAGGCTCTGCGAGTGCAGGAGGGCCAGAAACGGTGGTTACTTCACCTCACATCTCTCTGATGGCCTGTATTTCACTTTAAAACCTGCCAAAACACCTTTCCCAACAAGCTTGCCTGCTGGATTCCTTGCTGTGCCTTGTGTGGGGCCAGGTGGAAGGGGGTCAATGTCAGTACCTCCAGCACAGAAGGCAGGGCTGAGACAGATTCCAGGAGCCCATCCAGTCCTATACATACACAGGTTTACGGAGACAAGACACCTGAGAGGCCCCAGGCAAGTCTCGGTGGTGGGATTTGCCAAAATGGAAGGCAGCCAAGGGAGGGATGGCGTAGGAGCTTCCCTTTTGTACACACTGCTCTGTGGCTCTTGGCCAAGCAACTGGGTTTGGAGACAAAGTGCTCCCCATGGTGTGGACTTGGGGCTGCAGCAGCATCACATGTCCCTGGAGGCACCCTGCTGTCACAGGACTCCTCACAGCCCTGTCCCATGGCAAGCAGCATCTATCAGGGCCCTGTGCTGTGCAGTGGGATCCTCCTCCCAGCCCCATGGCTGCTATGGGGCTCATGGAGGTCGCAGAGCACTTTGGGTCTCCTCACTTCTGTTTTCCAGCTGCAAAATGGCAGTAATTATGTTGGCCTGCTCTATAAAATGCCTTGCACACGCAATGCAACAGCTAAGTACTATCATGACTATGTGTAAAATAATCCATTGCAGCCTCTGGATGCTGGAGAAGGAATGAATGGTGGCTGGAGTCCACATAAACACTGTGCTAGATCAATGCAGGCAATATGACAGTGTTGATCTGGTCTCCTAGTGCATGTTCTCACAAACCCACATGGGGTTGAAAAATCCAAACATATCTCTTGGCTGACAACGGACTAAAGCTACGTCACAGGGAGGAAGAAAACCTAATGCCATTGCACAAACCAAATTATATTTCCTGCTTTGATCACAAA